CGCCACCAACTGCACCATCGCACCGCAGTATGCCAAGCATTCCTTAGGGCTGCGCATTCCTAATATCGCCTTTCGTCTACTCATCTGGCCTCTCTGTTAATCCAGCGCGTCCGCCGTCTGCTTCATTCTAGGGGCAAACACATGCACTCAACCCACCCACCAACTCACATATACACGCATTGGCTTATTTCTCGACATCAGTTCGTGCAGTCCACACTGGCCTCCGTCAAATATGTCTGACTCCGTGAGGCCGCCGCAGTTCGCATTGCAAGCACAGTAGTCTACAATGGTTTGGCCTGTATGCTCTCCACCTGCCCACCTGCCTGACCTCACGCCACCCATGTGAATAAGCCAGTAAGGCATCTGACGAGAAGTAATGAGTGACTTGCATGAGGCCGCCCTGTTGTTGCTCTGGGTGAATTAGTGGCTTCAGGGGATGAGGAAGTAGAGCCATGAAAGGGGAGGAGGAGAGGGGCAGTGTTTGATGTGCAGCAGTTGGTGTGATGTGTAAGTATGGGAGATGAAGAGGGCGCAGGATGAGGGGGAAGAGATGGGATGATGAGGTTGGGAGCAGGGCATGAAGGTGTGTGGTGGTTGGAGGAGCAGGTGTGAGGTGAAGTTGAGGGTGAGGATGATGCAGGAGAGATGGGAGTGATGCGATGATGGGCAGGCATTATCTTGGATTGCAGATGCAAGGGATGCCCGAGGGCTCCCCACTGGCAAAAACTATGCACCCGAGCGAACCCGATTAGAGTCCGTCGCAGGCTTCAACACGCCGGAGTGCAATGGCGAGCCTCCACCTGGGGTCAGGGCCTTGCTGATCACCCTGAACTCGGTGCCAGGTAAGTTTACTGACCACCTCAGACCCCAACTACCACACCACACATTGCCCCTGCCTAGATTCCCATTCAATAATCATCATTCACCACTTCATCCCTCTCACACCAAACCAATCCTCATCCTCACTCACATGCCCTTCTCCATCTACTTTCACATCCTCACTACCTCCAGCATCTCTCCTTCTACCACTTCCCAATACCCTTCATCTCCTACTTACTTCACTTCAGTAGCGCCAATCTACAGCCCTTCATTTCATCCGGAACTTCTTGGCCGCGCCCTCAATCAGCCATCATCCTCATGAACCACTGTCAGTACTGAGTGCTCAAATTGATGCCTCATTCAGAGGCATGCCTTTGGCCACTACTGCATCATTAAGCCAGACACTAGCATGTCATGCCTCTCAGCCGCATATATTGCAGACCTCAGTTCACGGAAGATGACTGCTCTCCCGAAGGCTAATGAGACATGCGTCCCTGTCTGACGCCTCTCATACATATAACCTACTACTGCCACTACTACTGCCGCAGTTCATATTGCTGCTGCCGAGGCCTCAGCTGTTGCCACTGCTGCGAATGCTACCACCACCCTAGGCTTCCCGTCCTTACAAGCTCCCTCAATCGCTCTACCTCTCTCTCTCTCTCTCTCTCTCGCTACCTCATCACACACTCACACAGGCTCACGCACACATCGACACACAGTCGTCAGTCGAACGAGCAGGCGAGAGTCGGACCGTCGATTGTGACCATGTCCACCGTGTTCACTGCATCATGGTCGAGGCAGGCACGGTGAATTGCGCGGAGAAGGGATTATAGGGAGAGTAGCCTTGTGATGCCTCCTCCAAACTCTCTCCTCCTTCTCCTCCTCCTCCTCCATCTCCTGATCGGCCCGATGCACCTGAGCCAAGTGTTATGACACTCTCAAAGATTCAATTCAATTCAATTCAATTCAATTATTTTATTAAAGACCCGTCGGGGTCCCATCAAAGC